CCCCAGTCTAACATCCAATTCATTATTCAGTTAGAATACTAAAACACCTACTGCTAAACATAAATTCAAGTACTCTTAACTTCTTAAATTCTATTCTTAAATTCACAAAACATGCACACATATATACATATACACATAGACTTGTTTATATATTAGGGTCTTTCAATGAATGTATTTTTGTAATTTTGTTGGTATATGGAAAAAACAGCTTATGATTGCATTATTTCTGAGTCTTCACTAAAAGGTTAACAAAAGTTAAAATTCTAACTGATGTACTTCTATAAGTAAAAATTACAAAAAATTTAAGCTGTTCTTTATTGGGGGAAATCTGTTTTAAAAGAAAAAGGTATTTCATCTTATTGGATAAAAAAGAGTAATTTGTCAAAAGTCAAAAATTTCATAAAGGTTGTTTTAAATTATAAATATAAGGAAGGGGAAAAAAGAATCAGCAAGTAGGAAGGAAGAAATATAAGAAAGCTATAAGCATGGGGATATATTTTAAGGAAAATATGTTTTGGGATGGAAAATCAGAAGCCTTGCAATCACAGTGGGTTGTGAAAACTGCTACTAGGATAATTAGATATCCACTTGAAAAAAACAAAAACTGGACCCCTACTTTACATCATAAGCCAAAATTATTACCTCAAAATGGAACAAATGCATTAATGTAAGAGATAAAAAAATTAAACTCTTAGAAGAAAAAACAGATGTAAACTTCATAACCATAGAAATTCACATGAATTTTTTTACAGTGAAAGAATAAGATATTTTTTACTCTGGCCTATAACCATGAGGTTATATTTATATATATATTTATCATCAATATCTTTGAGTACTGACTAAACAATTACAATAATAGGATAAGAAAGGTAGCAGAATACAACAGTTACTAATAGGGCATTATGTAAAAATGTGGATGTGTAACCGATGTGATTCTGCAATCTGTATTTGGGGTAAAAATGGGAGTTCATAACCCACTTGAATCTAATGTATGAAATATGATATGTCAGGAGCTTTGTAATGTTTTGAACAACCAATAAAGAAACAATTACAATAATAATACAGTCTTATTCACAGACATAAATTACTAAGTTTCTGAAACTGGCACTGAACTTGCCATTATCCTGCGTCAGCCTCCCTAGACACTGGGATTATAGACATGTGCCACCATGTCTGCTGCCCCCCTCCCACACACACCATTCTATTGATTAACACAATCAAAGTGTGACAGGATTCAAAGCTGAGGGGTTACTTGACCCTGCTTCTCAACGGAAGGGTGGCAAGGTCCCATTACAGAGGAGAGTGGGATGGGAAGTAAGTGGTATGGACATCTTTGAAAAATAACACCCTATCACATCCTCCCAAGTACTTCTCTTGCTTAAGTATATGCTGATCTCATTTTTTTTCCCCAAGGAGAAACCACTCAGGAGACTTATTATAAATGAGGTTCCTAAACTCTATTCGAGGGTAACCAAATGCTTTTTAAAAAAAATATTTATTTTTTAGTTGTAGTTGGACACAATACTTTTATTTATTTATTTTTATGTGGTGCTGAGGATCGAACCCAGGGCCTCACACATGCAAGGCAAGCACTCTACCGCTGAGCCACAATCCCAGCCCCAGAGGCTTTTATCCATATTCAGCTTTCCCGTTTAGCACATCTGACCATTTCTCCACTCTCAGTGGCTCTCAGGAGAGAAGGATTTGGTCGCTTATAGGCTGCTGGACACAGCAGTAATCATTCTAAGGAGAAAAGCAGCCACTGACATGAGCTGGCTGCACCCTCACAACTAAGGCTCCTAATGAACATAAACAATTTCTTGGACCTCCAGTGTTATACAAGGTTACTATGTGATCAGGATAACCAAAAAAAAAAAAAAAAAAAGGAAAACCACTGCATAATCATATCTGACAAGACAAAACACAAACTTTTACCAAATCACAAAAATGAACAAACATCTTACTGTCCTGGTTAAAACAGTGCCCATGGCTACTCACCAGTCTACTTCTAGTCTATCCTCCTAGATAATACTCATTACGATATCCACAAAATTCCTTCTTAACTGAATCCAACCTAGAGCAAAGCCTCACTTCTTTAAATCCTCCCCCAAATCACCTAACAGGTTCAAATCTTATAAATCCTTTTTGACTCCCCAACAGATGCCTTACAGTTCCCCATTGTGTGCATTCTGCTTCAATGCAACACATCCAGTGATCAACTCCATTTGTTCAACCACCATGTCTTAGTGGTCTTTGGTTAGAACTCACTGACAACTTCTCTAAAGACCCTGGAGTTTACAGAATACGTTTATGGCCAAGGTTATTTCTGATCTTCTGAACTCTAACATACAGTCAGTGAGACATTGGATTTTACTCTTTTTCACTATGGTTTTGGAAGACAATTATATAAATTCCTTAGACCACCAGAAACTTTTTAAATGCCCTTACAGTTAAATTCATTTAACTATAGTTAAAATATATTTATGCATGGTGGTGCACATGTAAATCCCAGTGGTTCAAGAGGCTGAGGCAGGAGGATCACAAGTTCTAGCCTAGCCTCAGTAACTTAGCAAGACCCTGTCTCAAAATAAAAACTGAAAATGTCTGAGGATACTGTAGCTCAGTGGTTAAGTGCCCCTGGGTTCAACTTGGGGGCGGGTGGGGGGTAGAGGAATACACACACACATTTGCATATGTATGTATGTATATATAGGTATATTATATATATATATAAAATCTGGACCCCAGATTTCCTTCTTATCACCTTATAAAGTGCAGAAAGATTATCCTCATAACATTGGCAATAGCTGTCCTATCCCCAGCATGGCTACAGAGTCCAAGGGCAACCTGGCTTCAGACTATTGAGGACATTTAAGTCTCTGATATGGGAAAAGAAATAAGTATAATAGGACAACTGGCTCATCAGCTGTGGGTACCAGAGTCCAGAACATATTTCTACTGCTGTCATCTCCTCCTCCTCCTAATGAGTTCTTGATTTCTCTCATAGTCATTTTGCAAAGGAAAAATGTGACTTTTTTTGTGGTGCTGGGGATTGAAGCCAGGGCCTTGTATATGCGAGGCAAGCACTCTACCAACTAAGCTATATCCCTAACCCCAAAATATGACATTACTTATAATTACCCACCCTTTTCCCCTTATCCTTTTCAGTTCTCACTCCCTTGATACAAAGACTTGTATACTCAGAAAAACCATGTGTAGGGCTGGGGTGGTTGTCCAGTGGTAGATCACTTGTCTAGCATGTGTGAGGCACTAGGTTCAATTCTCAGCACCGTGTACAAATAAATAAAGGTCTACTGACAACTAAATATTTTAAAAAAAGAAAGAAAAACCATGTGGCCTAAGGGGTATGGGCTCAGTGTTAGAGTACTTGCCTAGTATGCGCAATAGCCTGGGTCCAATCTCCAACACTACAAAAATGAAAAAAAAATTTTTCAAAAAACACTGTCTTCCACAGCATGGTAGTTAAGTGACAGATCAGAAACCTCAGCTTACCTTAGGGGTGAACATATACAGTTAATTTAAAGGTGTTTAAAGAACGAGCTATAGCAGTTAGGTAATTTGGATTGGAAACAAACTCATCTGAATTTCAGTTCTAGAGTTATTTTGACATGCATGGCTCCAAATTCTCCTTAGCCTGTCTATTCCCAGGAACCCTGGGAGTTTTTCCCTTGCAAAATGACTATGAGAGAAACCAAGAACTCATTAGGAGGAGGAGGAGGTGACAGCAGTAGAAATATGAATGTTAATGCAAAAAAATTAAAGCATTGTTGGGCTGGGGTTGTGGCTAAGTGGTAGAGCACTTGCCTAGCAATGTGTGAAACACTGGGTTTGATCCTCAGCACCACATAAAATAAAAAACAAAATAAAGGTATTGTGTCCATCTACAACTAAAAAAATAAAAATAAAAAATTAAAGCATTGCTACCTAGGAATCATCTAGGACATCAAGCTAAAGAGCTCAACCTCACATAGGTTTAACTTCTCACATTTCACCGAAAATTATACTCTCTCAGTAGAATGAATTGGACATAACTTTCCTATGTTATATATGAATATATATAGTAAAACTCCATATGTACAACCACAAGAATAAGAAGTTATACTTCAAGTGTATATGTTAAAATACATTCTACTGTCATGTATAACTAAACAGAATAAAAAATTTTAAAAACACACACAAAAAAGAGAATTGTACTCTCTGGAGGACAATGTGCAGATTAGATATGAGGACTAATGTGGAGGGGAGAAATCAGTGAAACAACAAAAAGGATAAGGTTTGGCAATCATGAATGAATTTGATAATTTTTAAGTTTGGTTGCTTTTTGTGTGTGTTTGTGTCCGGCTGACTCCCTCAGGATGTGCGTACAGCAGATAAGATATTTCTGAAACATTCAGAGCACTGGCCAGCCCAGCTACTTGCTGGCCCTCTGCAAAGACTCTGAATAGAACTAGGCCGGTTTGTTTGGACTTTTTCTGTTGTTATTTTATGTGTGCCTGGTTGTTTGGTTTGAGGTTGTTTTATAACTGGTCTGGGGAGAGATCTGGGATGCAACATTGACTAGAGTCTAGAATGAATAGTGAAACTTCTGAAAGTGTGTCCTGGTCATTTTCAGACTCCTGGGAGGATTTGGAGGGCACGTGTAACTGTGAACTGTACCCCTCCAGGAGACTGTTTAGGGTCAACCTTTAAAAGAAAGTTTCAAATTAAGCTCCAGCACAACAGGATTTCTGGTTCTGAGCTCTAGATTAAACAAAATGATTACTTCTTCAGAGAAGGGAGAGATTTTATTGAGGGTTAGAAAAAAACTACCTACCATACCTTCTCAATTCTGACTCATTATGCTAATTTTTCTCTGACAATTAGATCATCACAGCATTTTTTAACTTCAACATAATTTATTACCAGAAATTAGGAACAACCCATATTTTGTTGTTGTTGACACAAATAGGGGTGTGAATTCCACTATAAATAACTACTTACCTGAATATAACTCAGCAAAGAATTTTAAAAGAAAATATCTTCTTAGTGTTTTTTTTAATTTTCATGGTACAAAGCACTATGACACCTAAAATTGAAGAAAAACAGTTTTGTTTGGTTAATCTTTGCTTGACCATTCAAAATATACAAATGAACAACCAAAACAAACCCATTCTATTAAAGACAAACATAAGACCTAAAATGTAAAACTTGTAGACAAACTAAGACAGGAGAAAAACTACATGACATTGATATGGGCAATGATTATTTGGATTTGATCTCAAAAGTTCAGGCAACAAAAACAAAAATAGACAAACGGGGGCTGGGGTTGTGGCTCAGCAGTAGAGCGCTCGCTTGTCATGTGTGAGACCTCGGTTTGATCCTCAGCACCACATAAAAATAAATAAAGATATTGTGTCCATGTATAACTAAAAAAAACTTTTTTAAAAAATAGACAAATGGGGGCTGGGGTTGTGGCTTAGAGGTAGAGAGCTCACCTGGCATGTGTGAAGCACTGGGTTTGATCCTCAGCACCACACAAAAAAATCAATAAATAAAAAATAAAGAGATTGTATCCACCTATAACTAAAAAATAAATATTAAAACAATAAGACAAATGAGCCAGGTAACTAAGGACACTGAAATAGGAGGATTCTCCAAGTTCAAGGCCAGCTCTAAGCAACTTAGGGAGACCCTGTCTCAAACACAGAAGGGGTATAGTGGCCCACACCTGCAATCCCAGCAAAGCCAGTCTCAGCAACTTAGTAAGGCCCTGAGCAACTTAGGAAGACTCTGTCTCAAAAAGTGAAAAAAAAAAAGGCTGGGGATGTGGTTCAGTGGTTGAGTGCCCGTCCCTGGGTTCAATCCTCAGTAAGGGAGGGGATGGAGGGAAGGGGGGGATGAAGGGGGGGCGGAGGGGGAGGGGGACAGAGGGAGGGGGGGATGGGGACAAAACACCTACCTGCCATTCAAATTCACTATCTGACCAGTCCCAGTATCTGCAATACCAAAATAAATAAATAAATAGATAGATGGATAGAAAGAACAGACTGGGAATGCAGCTCAGTGGTAAAGTGTCCCTGGGTTAATCCCCAGTACCAAAATAAAAATAGACAAATGGGATTATATCAAACTAAAATACTTCTGCACAGCAAAGAAAACATTCAACAGTAAAGAAACAACCTACAGGGGATGAGACTGTAGCTCAGTGGCAGAGCACTTGTCTAGCACATGTGAGGTACTGGGTTCAATTCTTTGAACCACATAAAAATAAAACAAATAAAATGGAGGCATTCTGTCCATCTATCACTACAAAAAATTTTAAACAACCTACAGCATGGGAGGAAATATATATCTGTAAGCCATACATCTGATAAGGGGTTAATATCCAAAATATATAAGAAACTCAACTCAATAAGAAGAAAATAACACAATTTAAAAATGAGCAAAGAGACAGGCACAGTGGTATATGCCTATAATTCCAGCAACTCTGGAGACTGAGGCAGGAGGATCGTGAGTTCAAAGCCAGCCTCAGTAAAAGTGAGGCACTAAGCGACTCAGTAAGACCCTGTCTCTAAAATACAAAATAGGGCTGGGGATATGGCTAAGTGGTCGAGTGCCCCTAAGTTCAATCCCTGGTACCAAAAAAACAAACAAAGAACTTGAATAATATTCCTTGAAAGGAAGACTTACAAATGGCCAACAAACATATGAAAAAATGCTCAACACCACTAATCACTAAAAAATGCAATAAAGCCCCAATAATATATCACCTCATACCTGCTGAAATAGCTATCATAAAAAAGATGAGGGTGGGGCTGGGGTTGTGCCTCAGTGGTAGAGTGCTTGCCTAGCACATGTGAAACACTAGGTTTGATTCTCAGCACTGCATATAAATAAATAAAATAAAGGTCCATTGACAACTATTTTTTTTAAAGGATGAGGGGCTGGAGATGTAGCTCAGTGTTAGACTACTTGCCTAGCAAGCACAGGGTCCTGGGTTTGATTCCCCAGCAAGTGTAGAGAAAAGAAGACTCATGTACATTGTTGGTGGAAATGTAAATTAGTAAGGCATTATGGAAAATTGTATGGCAGTTCCTCAAAAACTTAGAATTACCAGCAATACCACTTTGGGGTATATATGCAAAGGATTTGAATCAATATGTTGAAGAGAGACCTGCATTCTCAAATTAATTACAGCATTATTCACAATAGCTAAGTTATGGAATCAACAAAATTGTCCATTAAAGGGTGAATGGTAAAAGAAAATGTGATATATATTCACAGAATACTCTTCAACCTTAAAAAAGAAGAAAAGTCTATCATTTGTAATAGCATGGACAAACCTGGATAAAGTGAAATAAGCCAAGCACAAAATGACAAATACTGCATATTCTCATATATGTGTGGAATTTAAAACAATTACACTCATAGTAGAGAGTACAGTGGTGGATATCAGAGGCTGGAGGCTGAAGAGAATGGGGAGATGTTGATCAAGGTGTATATAAATTTACATAGATAGGAGGAATGTTTTTTGAGATCTACTATATAGCACGACGACTATAATTAATAATAGAAATAGAAAATTAAGTTCTCTTGCTGGGTGTAGTGGTGCATGCCTGTATTCCCAGGAACTCAGGAGGCTGAGGCAGGAGGATTTCAAGTTGGAGGCCAGCCTCAGAACTTAGTGAGACCCTATCTGGGGCTGATAGTGGTAAAGCTCAGTGGTAAAGTGTCCCTGGTTTCAATTCCCAGTAACCCCCCCCAAAAAAAAAGGTATGTTGTGCATTTCAAAATTGCTAAGTTTCAAATATTTACACCACAAAAAATTAAGTTATTTCAGGTGATGGGTATGTTTCTTAGCTTAATTTAATCATTCCACATTGTGTGGGGGGGGGGGAGAGAGAGACTTTGTATCCCATGTATATATATAATGATGTTTTGTCAACATACACTAAAATACAAATGTAAATAAATTAAACATTTTCTGTGCAGTGTCTAAACAAAATCTATTTTCATATCCATTATGATTTAGTTCATATATGTAACTGGGGGTGTGCCTGGCCTTCTCTACATAAAAATGCCCTTTCAGATTTACTTAGATCTGCTGTGTTTAGACCAGCAGTGGCCACAAGGCCAATAGTATTAGCATCTCCAGGGACTTGCTAGAAATGTTAATTTGGGGGCCCACCCCAGACCAACTGAAAAAGCAACTCTGCATGAAACCCAGCAATTCTGTTTTAATAAGCCCTCCAACTGATTCTGATGCACAGGAACATTTGAGAACCCACTGACCTGGACTGTCTGCTATACAGCTGTTTCTCTGGTTAACAAAGCAGCAGGTTTGATGGTTCAGAAGCATTAAAAGATTGCTTAGGGTTTCTAGTGGGTGCACAATTCTCTGCTATGAATTGAGTTTGCTAGAAAACAAAGAAGTGGCACAAAAGTGTTTTAAAGCCAGCAAGCCTGTAAATCCTTTACTGCAGTCCTACATAGAGCTAGTAGGCTCCACATGCAAAGAGAGACCCTGTTCTCAAGTAGTATCGATTTTCCCAGGAAGGTGCTGGGATTGTGATGTGCAAGTGCTCTCGGGAGGAATAAACTTTTTGAGCTGAGGTACTTCTTAGCTCTCCAAGTGGCTGCATCTGTGCTAAAAAGGGAGGAAATGTACCTGGAAGAAAACTGCACACAGTTTTGCCCTTATTTTATCTTAAAATATGTATATTAAGGGTTGGAGTGGTAGAGCAATTGCCTAGCACATGTGAGGCAGAAGCCATGCCCAAGGGAGTCTGGTGGGCTCCGCAGGTAAAAGCTGTCCCCTAGTATTTTAATTTCCTATGTTCAAATGCAATTAGCAACTGCTTAGATGTAAAAGTGGAGAACAAAGCCTAATTCCTTCTCCAGACACTCTAGTGCAGTACTCAGAACAGAACAGATACTGTATTCAGTAATTTGGAAAAGAAAGCTATCATTCTACTAGTAACCATCTGAAACTACAGGTTTAGATCACTCCAATAAAATCATCTTTTAGAAGTTCGACCCAGGTGTGTTGATGCCAAGCCAATAATACATTTTCGCCCAGATTTATCACTTTCAACAGTTTGCCACCTCCCCCAAGGATACCGCCAGTCCCCAACTGAAAATAACCAGAGCATTAAACATCCCAAGGTCAACACACACAGTTACACGTCCCCTTAACCCTACAACTATGCCATCAATTCTCGCGGCAGAGTCCGTCTGTGGGTTAGTTCCCCCCACTCCTCACGTCCTTTCACTTCCGTTCCCCTCTGTCTGCGTAGCTGGTAAGCAGGACATGCCCAGCCCTCAGACTGTAAGAAGTACTACAAACCTCTGCCTTATCTGCTTTCCCTGGCTGACGGCCCCTGAACTTCGGCTGGCTTCAGGGAGCTATGGCAGTGGCAGTTCGGCCGCTCAACCACTCATTTAGGGTCGGCCATTATAAAGAAATGCACCGTATTGTTCAAGCGCCCGCTGGTGACACACAACAGAGTCCCCACAATCCTCTTCGCCTCCGCCCTCCCCACGCCCAGCCGTGGTATTAACCCTTTCGCGCTCCGGTTTGCTGGTGGTTGGACTCCTCCTTGCACACCTACTGCTTGGTTGGGAGATCCAGGTGACTTAACTGGTAAAAGACCAGTCCTGTCCTCTTATTCATCTATTGAACATTGTCCTATTTTGCTTATAGGTGGACTTAGAAGCTTATCAGTCATTCTAAAATACAAGTTAATTTATTTGTTAGGTGAACAGTTTGTGATAATACCTTTAAACTGCTGGACCAAGCCAAACTCTCAATTTGTAGTTTCTGACCTGTTCACCTTGAGCCTGTAACACTTTCTACCCTTATTCCCCATCTCCTTTAGGTTAATTCCTGACTCTGCATAGATAAAAAGCACAGACTTTGTAACCATGGGATCTACGGCAGATAACTCAAGCATGCTTATTCCTTGGCTTCCTTATCTGTAAGATTAGTATAACAGTATCTATCCTTAGGATGGTAGTAAGAATATGAAAAGTTCACATGTGAGAAGCACCTAGAACATTGCCTGGCACAGAGTTAAGCAGTATATTGAAATAGAAATCATAATTATTGAGTTTGGTGGAAATATTTTTTCACCTATGACCTTCTGACTAATAAATAAGAAATGATAACAATAGCTAGTTAGAGGACCTATTGGATCAGGAACTTTAAGTGCCACCCCATTTTGTTGTTGTTTAACCCTCATAAACCCTTTGGTGGTAGTTAAATTATTATCTTTTCCTCTCCTCTTGCTTTTTTTTTTAAGTACATAAGAAAACTCAATAAGGTGGTAGCAGATAATAACTTGCCTGTGGTCACAGAGCTAGTAACATACAACACCAAGACAAATATCACTGAGAAAAAGGATAGAAATACTTTTCAAGTGATTTTTTTTTTTCCTGCAAGTTGCTTCAAAATCTTTTCAGGTCAGGAAGACTGTGTCTTTTCAGAACTATCTCTTCCTTGATGGCTGGCAGCAAAGGAGATGACTCAAACCCAGTGGTCATGTCCAGCTCACTTACTGCTTTCATTGTGCCACACAGGCCCCAATATTGCCTATTCTAACTGAGGCCACTGGGGATGAAAGTATAAGATCCTCACTTCACCCCACCATTCTGTAAAGCTTGGGTATTGTAAAAGATTTTGGTTATTTGAGGAGAGTACCAAGAGACTCTTTAATATACTCTTTGGACTCCAGCCAAATAGTAGTAATTTCCATATTAGTCTCTAGAGTCAGATATTACTGCCTGAGCCATGAGAGAACAGGGAAATCCCTTCTTTCTCAGATCAAAACAAAACAGGAATTCCCTCATTCTCCCAGAGTCTATAGTACCCAGGACCTTGTTATTCTTGGTTTATACCCACCCACTCTCACTTCCCAATTTATCCTAAGGCAGTCCATGGTGGTTCTTATACTTTTTCAGGGAAGGACTGGTGATGGTCATGGAACTGGGGAGGAAAAACATAAACTTCCAAGTTGGCTGAGATAAATGAAGCACACTGCCTCATTCGCATATTTGTACTACTTTTCTAGCTTGCTGATCTTCTTCACTGCCTCTTGGCATTTCAGAGCCTATTGTCTGCACTTCATGAAAGCCTCTAGTTTTAAATTGCAGGTGAATAATCTTGTCTTTCTTCCCCCAGAATCCAACAATAGCTCACATGTCTGAGCTTGCCTTCTACTTAAAAGTGGCTAAGTTTAGAAAGGAAAAGGACAGAGATATCATGGAAAGATTTTTGCTTAATTTTCTCCATTATTTCCAACTGTCCGACTATTGAAAAATGTCAGCTTGGGAAGAAATCTTGTTCCAGAAGCCAAGAAAATAAAAATCCTAGTGCAAAAGAAAAATGTTAGCAGAGAAATGACAAGCAGACAAGGAGGTCTCTGGGCCAGTAGTGAGATCTGTGAGTGGGTCTTGGACACAAACAAGAAATTGTGCCCTTACAGCTTCTTTTACCCTAACCAACCCAATTATTTCACCACTGCACATTTTGCCTCATCACAGAATCCATCACCAGCTTAGCATAAGGGATAGGTGAGGAGACAGGATGTTGATAAACCCAATGTTACAAAAGATGCGTCCTTAGCATCTCTATTTGTACTCATAACATCTCTTTAGAATCATTGTCATATGTGGTTTAAGTCTCAGGAGTTTGCAGTGATTTCTACAATATGTTTCAATTATTTATTTCTTACAGGCTGATCTAGAATCCTAATATCTATGACACAATTTTTATAGTGTACATACACTGCTCTGCTGGTGACCAGTTCAAGCCCCTTTTCCAAGGCAAATAGGCCCATTCTCCAGAAGCTACAGGTGTTAACTGTGAATTTCAGCTGGTTCCTTCTGAGGAAAATGGCACTCCATAAAAGAGCTTTCATGCCTGCAAGATTGCAACATAATCCCCTACTCCATGTACAATTCTGCAACCTGCAGCCAGTAATTGACTGATGATTGGGGTACAAGGGCACCATGCCTCAAGATTCATAAATTTTATGGTGCAAATCCTATTCCAGAGCACCCCTTGGGATCATGCTAAAGCTGATTTCCAACTGGCTTAGTTTTTCTCCCCTTCTCTATCCTGCTTTTCTCACTCCCCTACACCCTGGGAACACTCCCTCAATAAGTTACTTGCCTAAGAACATGCCCCCTTCAGACTCTGCTTCTAGGGAACCCTGTCTAAGACTCACGCTTATCTCATGTTTGTTAGAGGACTATGTAAAGAGGATCCTTTGTGGGTCCCCCTTGTGTAACTGCAGCAGGCTGTACCCATCTCTGGGGAAGTCAGGAATGAGTTAAAGTACAACTGGACAGGGCTTCTCAAATCAAAGTTGAACATAATGTTACCAAAAGCTCTGTCCTTGTCCCCAATGCCAATTTAATAAGGAGGACACAGTTTTGAGGAAAAGGAAAAAGAATGTTTATTGCTTTGCTAGGAAAGGAGAAGCACAGGGGACTGTTGTCTAGAAACCGTGATTCTGTCCATCCTGAGGAACGGGGGCTTTTAAAGAAGCTATTCAAAGACTCCCTAACAGGTGTTCCTGTCAGAGGGATTATGAATTGCTTGTTAATTTTGGAGATAGCCATTCCTTAGATTCTCTGCCAGCACCCCCCCACCAGTCTGAATTACTTGGTTCCTATGGTGGGTATGTGCTCAAATACAGATAACTAGGCCTAGAATGGGATATAAAGGTAATCCTGTTCCCTGCCCCTACGTTAGGAAGGGAGAGAAAGAGAAGAGGAAAAGAAAAACATGTCCATTTTAAAATAAGCCATTGTGTAGTGAGGGCTGTATTCAAAAGGTGAAGTGGACCACTGTTACAATAAGTACTAACTCAAATTAAGATGAGGTTCGGTTCTGTTGGGTACAGTGGCACATACCTGTAATCTCAGTGGCTGGGGAGGTTGAGGCAGAAGTATTGCAAGTTCAAAGTCAGCCTTAGCAATTTAGTGAGGCCCTAAGAAACTTAATGAGACCCTGTCTCAAAATAAAAATAAAAAAAAAATAAATAAAAAGAGCTGGGGATGTGGCTCAGTTGGACCCACCACTGGGTCCAATACCTGGTACAAAAACAATTTTAAAATACATAAAAATAAATGAGTCTCAGTCTATTCCTAACATCTCCTGTCTTGCTGATACCAACATATCACATTCTATCAAATGAGAAATGAAGTTATATGTATTCATGATTCTTTGTAGCAATTCTTACAATTAACACAAAGAGCTATGTAGCATTTGTTAAAAATTTGGTTAGATTAAGATTATTTGTGATACACATTCTAGCTGTAATAATATGAACCTCAAAATTATTTATCAACTGTTGGATGTTTTATTTTTGTTAACTGTAAACTCTATTATTGAAGATAGTCAAAGAATGTGCCTGAGGTGGGTTACTTGATAAGAATGCTCTAGTTATTCTAGAAGTGTTAAAAAACAGACCATATTACCAGCTTTCAAATAATAAAAATGTAATGTAAAGATTGTGCTATAATATAGGAACTATAGCAGATCATCATTATAAACATCAGTCCAAATATTGTAGAAGTGTACAGATAGTGGTTAAGAGAAATGTTCAGATTGAAAAAAAGTGCAGGTTGAAAACAGCCAGATTTTTAAAATATACATTTGCAAGGATAAAAATTTCATAACATATGTCATTTTATTCAATTTATCCCCCCAACATATATATCCTATCACATAGGCCTTTGTATATCCACCCACATTAATTTCAGTTAATTAAACATATTTTTCTGGCTTACAATAAAAAAGCCAAGACAATAATTTTCTTTTTTTTATTGATTTTTTTAAAGACATGACAGCGGAATGTATTATAATTTTTATTACACATACAGAGCACAGTTTTTCATAGGTTTGTATAAAGTATGTTCACTCCAATTCATGTCTTCCAAAATGATAATTTTCATTGTGAGTATCCTATCAAATAAATTTCACCTAAATAAGGATCCTGCCATATCCGAAAACACCTGTAATCCCAGGGGCTTGGGAGGCTGAGGCAGGAGGATTGCAATTTCAAAGCCAGCCTCAGTAAAAGTGAGGTGCTAAGTGACTCAGTGAGACTCTGTCTCTAAATAAAATACAAAATAGGGCTGGGGATGTGGCTCAGTGGTCGAGTGTAAAACCTATTTCTAGGTATATTTGGAAACATTCTTTTTGGTATGATCTCTTATAATTAATTCCTTCTTATTAGTTTTACTTATGTATATTTATTTATATATTATATTTTAATTCCTTTTAACTTGTTATCTAGCAAAATGTATTGATCAAAAATCAGATTATGGAGAATCTTTGTATTGATTATTTTTTATTTGGGTAACTGAAATAAACATTTTCATAAGAATAAAATATCATTAAAAGTCCCTACCAATTAAGAAATGTTGGTGTTTCTCAAAAGCCCTTTCTAAATAAAATAAATATCATGTG